TTTTTCTCTCCGTGATGAGAGCACTGATACTCGCAATTACTTTGGATTGCTGAGAGAAGAAGAAGGCAAAAGCAAAGCAGCTGAGAACATCTGTTACTGATCATTGCTACAAGTGATTTGACAGCACTGTCTGTACTGAGAATGACACTTCACGCTAACTATTATTATTATTATTATTATAACTTTTAATAACTGAGTTTAATTATCTAAATTAATTATTTTAAAAAATTAATGAGAATTAAAATAGTTTATCATCCAAAGACGACAAGAAAGGCAGTAAACAAAGGTGCCAGGAGCAGAAACTTCATGAAATTAATTGCAACACCAGATGATGGTGTGCTGGTAGTTGTAGAAGATGGCGTGGGGGAACTAGATGTGGGAGGACTAGTTGTGGGAAAATCGATAGATTTCTAAAAAAATACCAAAAATCTTACATAAAAGAAGCTCTTTTTTAGGCTCGCTCTCTCAAATGCTCACTCAATCTTTCATTATTCTGACCTGACAAAGTCTTTCAAAAGAAGAAGGACATTGAATAGTTCCAACAATACCATCGTTCATGACATTTAGCTAAAAAATTAAAACAATCAACTCCTAAACTACTTTTTCTGTATGTGTCCTGTATTAAGCTATTAACTGACCACGTTTCCTGGTTGATCACAAGTGTAACTGACACTGTTGACAAACACTGCTAGCTTTGTGCTGTCAGCATTACAAGTGTACTGCAGATAATGAAATTAAAATGAACAGTGAGGCAATGGAGATTCTAATTCATTAAACTTTAGTATAGCTACTGTTACTATAATTGGTATGGCTACTGCTTTGTACAGTAATACAATAATTATTATTACCCGAAAACATCCTGCTCCAAAAGATCTAGTTAACGATGCTGTCAATGGTACAGGCTGTGTGAAACAAGCTGCACCTTCGCCATATCTTTCCCCAAATGTGTTTCTACCAGCTAATGACAGGGGAACAAAATGATGCTAGAATTAATACAGTGTGTCAATACCTGGGAGTTGGTTGGTTGCATTGGAGCAGTCACTTGTTCTTCCATCACCAAATCTAACATTCTAATATAACAATAGTAATAACAATAGTAATAATGTGTAGCAGTTTTTTTCGAGGATAACAAATTTTGTGAATTTCACGGATTTTTTTTTTAATTCACTAAACTAAATTCCTTGAAAATCAATTTAATACGGTACAAGAGGGCAGAATTGTGGAAATTTGCAAAAATTATTTGTGAACCTCCGGATACAGGTCATTTGCGAAAATTATTATCTTCGAAAAAATCCACTTATAAGCTACTCAATTTTATTATGTAAAATACTAACAGCTTGGTATGGGCAATAGTCTGCAATTTCCAATCGTCCTCCTGATCTTGAATTGTCGAAATACTATACATTGAAAATAAAAGTACCACTATGTGGGCAAATTGAGATTAATTTTCATTACCTGATACTCTTGTGGAAGATCAAATCTTAGATCTGTTACTAGATTGCATATAGAGATAGATACTCTGTCAACTGAA